CGTAAGCAAGGCTCGATTGATGTTGAAGGAGTTGAAAACGGTAGCAGATCAGACAAGTACATAGTAGACTTTCATAGCTGTGGTGTCGTCTCTAATAAGCGATTATAAAGATTTTCAGACATTATTCATTGTTCAAAAACGGATATTGTTGCAATCTAAAAAAAGAGATCACTTCATTACATTTGATGAGCTAACTTATGATGATGCTAAGAGGATATGTTGTACAATACTGTAGGAAGTTATGCACTGGTCTGAGTCTCCTGACCATTGCTGTCGAAAGCTCTTCCGAAACCTCCTCGATCGGGATCGAAAGCGTCTCTATATTCGTCGCGAACCTGTAACTGACTTGTTGTTAGAGAGTCCTTCTAATAACAACTCACTTTGTTAGAAAGACCTTCTAATAACCATCGTTTATAGTAACTGTATGGACGCATTCATACTTCGCGATTCAGTCGCATGAATTGGAAAACGCGGGGGGGGGGACCTGTCGCGCTCCGTCGGTAATCTTTGGATCCCTGCGATTGCTGAGTTAACCACATACGGATAAAACTCCTCTTGGCCGTTTCAGCAGTCTAAAGAAGCCATCGGACTTCGCGATGACGTACGTCGACGCGCTACCATTGCAACAGCGTCCAGTGCAATAGACCGACACTGACCGGCGTCGGCCACCAGTGTGTTGGGAGAGTATAAAAGAACAAGAGGGTACCAGGCTGCGTGGTCAGACCTACCCCTGTTTTTCCCAATGCTTAAAGCAATAAACTGCCCGCGTCCCATCGATACCCGTGAGGTCATTATTCGTTGTAGGTGGAGCGATTCTTCGCAGTAATCGTGAATCCTGGAAGCTGCTTATTCACAGAAAAGTGAGTCGCACCAGACAGGTCTTACTAATTTCTGGAAAGCTGACGCCCCAACTATTATACGGGGAACAAGCAGCCTCAGTCATTTCCGGAAGTCAACGCGTAAAGAGAATAACTCCTTTTACTCTATTTTGCCTGCTTTCAACTTCTGTCATTTTATTTTTCGTTTGGAAATTCTTCACCAAATTTCAACGCACCTGCCCTCCATGCGCACCTCGACCGTATTGTCGTCCCTCTTGAAATCCAGCATCATAGTCAACACGAATAGGGCGTCCACCCAACAAGGTGTCGTGCAGGAAACGAACGGCGTTGCATGCGTCCGAATGAGTATAGTAACTGTTTCAAGGAAAAGATCACTGACTGAGCAGAAAGAAGAAAGAATAAAGCTGTTCATCAATCCATCGGCGCTGACTTGGTTGGGGAAAGGTGGGAGGAAAAGCCATTCATCAGTGCCTCCGTATCCCTACCTCCAAACCGGCCATAGTAAGACGTCTTCCCTGCGCGACTACCCTCGGCAACTTTGGTGGCGTAAGGCTTTTTGGGGAAGGAATGCCACAGAAGCGCGGTCGAATGGTCCCCTCCCCAACTACGTTGACGCCAATCCTTCTTTGAGATGTGAAACTCATCTGACCACCATTCAGGACCGCAGTGGTTATTGAATGCGATATCGCTTATACAATGACTTGTGATGGTCCGCCGATGAGCAGGTCAGTGTTCTTATCCTCCCAGACGACTCTAAATTAACCGTCCCCGGAAGGCAGAATGCTTGGATGGTTTCAACGGGAACCGAGCCGAGATCCCCGCAGACAGGGCACATTATCGTTGAGGGTTCCTCAAAGGCGGGGGGTGGTCGCTTTTGGCTCGTTGTTGGGAGAGGGAGTGGCGGATTTGCCTTCGTAGGGAAATTTGCGGCGTTGAGAAAAATTTTCCCGGTTGTTGACTTTTCGTGATTTTTCCTGTTTCACGTGTGTTATACTCCCCCCCCCCCCTCCTCTCGTACCCCGCTCGACAGCAAACTTTTGGGGAAACAGGATAAAGTAGGAAAATTTTGAAAATCCGGAAAAGCTGGTAGGAGTTTGAGGAAATCAAAAAGCTAAGAAAGTGGTAGGTAGGATGGGGAAGGGGTTTATTCTCCCCGCGATTTCCCTTATTCTCCCCGCGATTCCGCGCTTCACATGTTACACCCCAACCCTCCACTCGAAAGATCGGAGGAGGACTAGAGGGTTACAAAGCCATTTTGCCCAACCATGATGTGTCCTGGCTGCAGACCGCTCTTGTGGTAAGCGGCCCATTCCACTACTCAATCCGTGCGTCACTGAGCTCATGACGAAAGTACGAAGCACTTACACTACGAAGCAGAAGCCGCACGGAGTCTTCTTGAAACGATCAAGTCCCATGATTACTCGTTTGCTTTCAAAGCCTCTCCGGCACGACCAAAAAGCTCGTACAGCTGAATGTGATTGACTGAAAATTGGAATGCTTTGGGTACCAGCCTCAATGACATACCTGATCTTCAGTAACATGGTAGGAGAGATTACCGACATAAACGGTAGCTGAGGTGTCAAGCGCTTGCTGGTGTTCCTCAACGGTACTAAACAATAGTAAAAGTTGCTGCGAAATAGTAAGACAACCATTCATGCTTCGTAACTCTACTCCCTCCCCCATTCACAACCCGTGGAAACTAAACTTATTTTTTGGGGTGGGGAGAAAGGGAGAGAGGCTTGAACTCTTAGGCCAAAGTTGGGGAGGATTATGTGCGCACACCAATTCGTCGGAAGGACGCGAACACCTCGGGAGGATGCGCAGGAGCAGAAATAATTGCGGTTTAGTCTCACTGTTCACTCCTCCCCTCCACTGCTCTGCAGGAAGTGTGTGCGTGGGTTGTAGCGCGCGCAAGCCCTTCTCCATTGATCTTTGCAGTTTCGGGGCATTTGTTGCATGCACCCGGCTCCTCAACCCGCGTGCCCTGACACCGCCCGAACGCGACTCCTCTGATATTGACTGTGTTTGATCGGAGAAACTCCTCCCGCTTTAAGCAAATGGAGGGGGGGGGCGTCGTTTTTTCCGGGATAAGTTTCACGGCGATGCTCGGTGACCGGGGGATTTTGCTTACCATCGATATGTTGATCCTCTCTGGGTAGCCTTTTCTCTAGTTGACACGTTTTAACATGGGTGGACTTAGAGAGCTTGCTCCAGCTCCAACAAGTTTTCAGTTCAGAGATGGGGCTCAAGTAAACCGAAAGTAGTGAGCAGTCAAAGTGCAAATGTCCCTCCGCCCGTCCTCCCCCCGCATCGTCAAACTGCGCTCTAAGTTCGCCTTTAATCAATATAGGAAATACGCCTGCTGCTTTGCTCACACCTACCGCGCCTCGGTTTTTTTTAAGTTTTACCCGCAATTTTTTTAGTTTCATGGTATGCCCGCACGTAAAATTCTGCGAGTATTGATTAGAGAAAATAATAGGATGCTAAACGTTGTGGACGTGGGGAAGGGGTGGAGTAGGACACTCGTCGCGCACTGATCCTTTCCCGAAAAGCTCACCCTCAGAGCGCAGACGGCCAGAGTCGCCGAGAGTTAGTTCTGCGCAGTGAAGGCATAAGCCACATCAAACCTGAACCTTGATTAGCAAAAGGGATAGGTGGAGGCGCTGGCTAGTACGTTCCCGAACTACGTTGGTGCCCGGCCCGAATGTAAATCAATCTACGAAAATCGCCCTAGATGCTCTGAAAGCTATCGGAGCAAAACCGGCGGCATTCACACAACATTAACTTAGCTAACTAATTATCACCCAGGGCACATTGTTGGAAAGATTTCAGTCGAGCTCTATACGACCCCCCCTTTTTTTTGGGAGTTGGTACGACCCCCCCCAGCCCTCTGTCCTTCCTCATCGAATCGAGCCGTCGAGCGGGGGGAGGGGAAAGAGGGGGGGGGGGAAGATCATGTGAAACAAGGAAAGGCCGCGGACAATACGACCCCCCCCCCCCTCTACAATCAGATTTTCCCCAACTTCCTGCCCCTTTTTTCCAGAATTTCCCGAAAACTTCCCTACTTTTTACCAAAAATTTTGCTGTCGAGCGGGGGGGCATATAGTACGTGAAACAGGAAAATCGCGAAAAGTCAACCTGATTATCACGTCGAAAAGGAAGCTGTTTCAGTACAAAGAAATGAGAACTGGTAACAAAGAATGTACCTGGAAACTCCTATCTCTGTAGGTAGACATGACGGCTTAATGGAGAAGCTGTCCTCTCCGCATGGAGAGATTATGTGATCTTAGAGATAGAGCCAATCGATAAAGGCGCTTGATTCGAAAGTGCGGCAAGGCTGCGAATACGGTATTGGGGTTGTTTGGGCAGCGTTCATAGTTCGCGACAACGACGAGTGCGGGATCAGGGTGCATCATCGTGATGTGTGAAACGGTGGTGTCATACGCGGTGCAATGATTATAATTCGGCGGGCCGAGCAGGAAGACGCACCCGTTGCCGGCTGGGGCGTTCACCATTGCCCACCTTCCCCCGAAGGGAGGTCCTCGGCACGACACTCCACCTAGAAGAGGGTCCCGGTGCGATCCCTACCCTCCCCCCTCCCCAACACCAACACCTACTTTCCTACATGTTCCCAGCTTCCTACTAGTTTTCTACTGGAAATTTTTGCCGAAAAAAATATAATACCAATGCAAAAGCGGGAACGCGAAAAGTCATCAAACCGAATTTTCCCCAATGCAGCATATTTCTCTCAAGGCACGTACAACTCCCCCTCCTAGCGGCAAGTGCCGAACCCCCCCCGGTGTCTAACACAACAATCGGTGTCCCTGTGCACAATAGCTCACTTCCGATGTGCAAAAATGACAAGTATCCAATGCTCGGTGAGCGCGAGAGCCCACGCGCAGTGGTGCTTACTACGAATTCGGCCGCAGGCAGGGTTCATAGTACGGCGACACGCGGATCTAATCAAACACGATGGCCACAGTAGTGACGGTAGGAACACGCGGAGTACGTGCGCAAGTTCAAATACCGAGCGGAAGTACTCGATTACCTCGTACCAGGTGAAGACATTTGGCTTAGATTTTTAAGGCAGACAGTTCGTCGCGCCTCAACAAACGAACCCATCACGTAGCCACTAAGTGTATGCCGTTTCAGCGCTCAGAAAGCAATGTTACTGTCAAATGATTGGCGCATTCACTAATAAGCTAAATTAACTCGTGAGACGAAGCTGTACACTCTCTCTGCACCAATAATTGGGATGCAAATAAACAAAATGTGCCGTCATAATAAGGTCCCGTCAGAGTAGAGCGTGGCTAGAAATCGAAGCGAGTACAACCTAATTCAGTCGCGAGCGTGAGGTTTGTCGCAAGTACGCCGTGTTTTTATATTTCCGTAGGCGGCGCCGCGTGGTCCCAAAGTCCGTCTCTCGTCCGACGGACTGATACTGTAGTCCTTGAGACTAGCGATCGCGTGGTCATCTGTGTTGCGGGCCATGGAAATTTGATCATAATGGTCTGTACGTCTTGGAGTCCTTTATTTGCATACGTTTGTTCAGTACCGTACAGACAGGACTCGTCGAACATTAGGGAGGCTCGTAGGCCTCAGTGAGCTTATTTTGGACACTTGTGTCCGGTATCGAGCGACATACCGCGGAGAATTCTCCGGTTGAAACAGTCCCACACCAGAGAGGGTGTCCGTGCCTTTCCCACTCTTCCATTGGAATTATTTGTCTTGCCTCTCCGGCTGCATTGGGAGATTAGAGCGCTCTATGATCCTGTGGACTTCCATGAACTTCCATCATTGTGAATTCTGGATAGCTTCATCCGTATACGATTATGCCGAGCGGTAGAAGGAATTTGCGATTGCTGGGAGGGGTCCAACCAAAATACGCTGGAGCTTTTGTATAGCCTGCGTGGCGCCCTTTCCAAAAATAACGCGGCAAGTTTCTGCAAAAGTGCTTCTTGAACAAATTTCAAAGATCATGACGGTAATACATATTCAAAATGAAAAAAAGGGGGGAGGGGCTGGAGTGTGGATGGAAAGCTGAAGCAATCTAACTCAATAACGCAAAGGCTTTATCGCCAGCGTGCGCTCCATTGCAACTCCGCGCTGTTTGCAGATTGCATCGCATGCGGCTTCGCGTGGTCCTAATGCCGTCTCCTCGTGATCCACCAATATTGCCACTGATCTGTTCATTGTTAACCTTTGCATACATAACCCCCTCCTCTCTACCGGTAGATCTTACACGAACCACGCATTACAAACTTCACTCTGCCTCTCATACAACCTTTCACGAAAAATTCGTCCAGGTTTTCCATTGATTTGCTACATAAATTTCAGACCAGGGTAGACCTATATAGGGTCAACGTGGCCGAACAACGTCAAAATTCCAGCGAATGTTCTGTCTAGGTCAAGGTTACGCGGATGAGCTCGAAATTTACCCTCTTTCCATGAATACCCCAGCGACATCTTCTAATCCTGTTCGCAATTACACCTTCGAAAGCAAATACTGATGGAGATTTTAGTTTGTCGTCATTATATTCGTCTCCTTAAATAGTTGAGGCTGTAGTCAGCATTCGGAAGAGTGTCCATGGTAGCCAGTACGGTAACGAGAACCCGCCATGTGCAATTGTTAATGGAGATTGGGAGGAGTTCAGAGCGTCGGTTCCAAAGACACTATACACTCACCTTCGAAGACGGTCTTCACCACTGCAAGAAGAGGGGTCAGCAGCTGTATCAGAAATGGATTGCGCGCCGCGGCTGCATCTCCTACCAATAATGGCCGGTTGAGGCAGAAACAACCAGTAAAAACGCTGCGAGTGGACTCATTCCAAGTTTCCTGATACCGTCCGCCCAATGTCAGTAGCCCATCTCGCCAACTGCAACGATCTGGCACTGCTATAGATGATTCTCTCCTCCGTGGAATCAATTAGCAGTTTTAACGTCGCAAAAAGAAGGGGGGGGTGCAGTGGAATGAGTATACCCGCGGCGTTACTGCCACTGGTGTGCTCTTCCTAAATCGATCGCCAGCCTATCACCATTGGAAGAAAGGGCCGCCAGAGGCGGGCTCATGACTGCCGCGTGGCTGATACCGACGCCGTCGACCGATCGCGCGGACTCGACTATACGTTCCGCAGGGCATCTGGGTGCACTTGCAAAGCCTCACTGCCTTTGTGCAACGTATGTGACACCATCACTCACCTCGGACCATGTATCCTCGAAACACGTTCTTAGTCATCGACATTTATTAGCATGAGGTAAAAACCACCAGAAGTGAAAAACGTGAAGTGTTCCTGATGAAAATTTCACCTACAAACCCGTAAACAACACGAATGTTCACATTTGCTAAAATTCAAAATTCGTCAAATTTGGGATCATCAGCAATTACGAGTAATTGTGAATCTAATTAACAATATATGTTTAATTCACAAAATGAAGTAGCTCATGATTCAAAGACGCATTTCACAACAGCAGGGAGTAGACATAAAATACGATTTCGTAGATACTAAGACCCTGCAAAGGAGGAAAAAAAAGGAGAACTGCCGGTAGACCCCTCGAGAAAACCCTTCCTTTCGCAACTGAACTTGAGCGTTGTGAGAGCATGGTGACAAAACATTGAGCTCTTTGGCGAAAGACCAGGCAGCGAGGGAGGAAAGAGC